TTCCCCCCCCCCCCCCCTCCTCTCGACTTTTTCACTTTGATGTTCCTTCCCCTCTGTGAAGCTTGAAGTCAACTAAAGGGCTATAGATAACTATCAAAACGCCTGCCATTTGATATAAATAAATTTTAAGACTTATAGAATAGACAAATCATTCAGATATGTACCCAACCGATTTGCTATTCTTATGGGAATATTTGCGCATTATTATAGGTATATGTCAATGTGTTAAGCTCTTTTTCAGATACCTGGCTATTCCTTACCTGGAAGTTAAGTGTAACTGGCTGAGTTTCAAGTGTTTACGTTATCTCACTTGGGATTGTAATTGTTATGAAAAATTGCTAACCGTGGTGGGGTGATCAATATGGGCGTGTCTGCTCAGATGGGTCACGAGAGGGCACTGGTAATCGCTTATAGCACGGAAGCCACTCCAAGGTGCCGTGCCCCTTGTGGACGCTTTTGGACTTGGAGAGTTTAACTGCGGTGCTTTGGTAATTTTTTAAACAAATGCTGTCTGTCTTTAAAAAAAACAGCCTACTTTTGCTTCTCTCCATCCTTGAACAAAAAGTACCAAAATATCGATGGAGTGTAACGAAGTGGTGAGTTGAAGTAAACTAACTGTCATATCATTTTTCCCTACTGTTGTCGGATTTTCCTTCAGTAGAAATTAAAGTAACTAGTTATTTTCCTTTCCATTTAATGGTTTTAGAATATATTTATTAATTTCTCTCCCAACACATTTTTGCCCTGACAGTCTCACGTTCTGCTAAAAGTTGTATCGCAAATTCCAACATGGGAAAGCCCTTGTCCATGATTAAGATAAGCCTTGCGAAACTCTCATTTACCTCTCCTCTTAAGAGGGCCAATATTGATAGCCCATCAGGACTTAATATCCCACTCTTGTGAGGGTATTCTAGATTTTTGTATGGCGATAATTAAAAAATAACAGAACTTCTCAAAATGGGAGGTTAGGGGATGCTATAATTTTGCAGAAATTTTTATACTTTCAGAATGACTTATAGTACGGAGCATCGTACACTTTTCGATACCCTGATTTAAATGGCAGTAAGTACATAGAGTGATATTAGGCCAGTCCTTTTTTATCCTGCTTGAATTGGCTCGAATTATAATCGATGATTGGGGTCATTCGTGTTGAGGTGCCGTCTTCCATAGAGATGTCTGCACTCAGTACTGATATAGACCATCGGACAAAGCTTAGGGAGTTAAATTCATCTGGATCTCCGAATGTCTCTGGGAGTTTAACTTTGACCTTCGTGTGCTATTTCTTGTAATTCTGACTTTACCATTACACTCACCTATGTCACTACCACAACATAGCCACACTATTGATCAATTTTGTCAGCAGTATAATCAGTGACTGATTCGCCTAATTGGCTTCCATAATTCGCTTGTTGTACAAAATCATTTGCAGTAATGTTCCCGTGTCTCCTTTGATTTCTCTGCTTAATTCATCTATCCAGATAGTACCATCTTTCTTGTTTTATTAAACTTGACAGATGCTGTATAACTTCATATAATGCCGCCTTTAGGTAAATGATTGACCATGGCGTTCATTCAAAATAGAATGTCAGTGCACAGTGAAAGTCCCGAAAAATAAACAGCCGCATTCTAATAGCTCTTTGTGCTCTTAACTTTAGGCTTACTTTAATTACCGGCTGAGTGAGAAAAAAAGGCCTCTCATCGCACACTCTTTCCACTAGGAAAGGGCGCAGAGGAGATTGTGTACGCTCACTTTTAAGGTAAATTGGTGGGACAGTGTTGATATAGCTCTAAAAGCTGGTCAGCACAGTTGTACGTACCAAGTGAACTCCTAGCTTCATATTTAAGACAGATTAGAAACAATGTGCTCATCACCTTGATTGAACGCTGAAAATGTTTTTATTAATATACTAACTGAGAGAGACTTAATTCCCCAAACAATGAGTAAGTTTTAAGTTTATCGCAATTTTTCACTTAACATTCAAGTTATCGATTTTTATCGCAATCATCGGATGGTCGTAACTCCCCTCAACCATATTCTCATTTAATTAACAAGAGCGACTCTAGAGTTCCTGTTTAGCCAATTGGAATTCCTTGTACACTAAACCAACTAACTTTGAAAGTTTAAGTATCTTTTTCAAACCATTGTTTAGCCCCACTACTTACTCCAGCTAGATATGTATTAAGTAGCACGGTTAAGTTATGTACTTCTAAGCAACTCAAGCCTTGAGTACGTTTTTCCATTAACTTTCTGTGAAGGGAAGCACAAAAAACTCTATTGAATTCGAGACGCAAGATTATCAATGTACATTTGACTTGTTTTCACCGATTTTCCACTCGGGTTATGGAGGCATTACTCTCCACCACTTCACGCTTCAATGCAATTGTAAAAACGTTTCGCTCAAGTGACCATAAGGCAATTAGGCCAATTTTTTTCAGTCAATCACTTATTTGCACCTGAAATGCTCCAATTCAAAATCATCTGATGCTCTTTTACGCTACTGCTAATTGGCTTCGTTACCTTTCGGAGCGTTGCACCACTAAATTAATTAAGGGAAGCAGTTGATTATAGTTTAGAGAGAGCGCATTGTATATGCGCATCAAAATGATAGTTAGCAAAAAGTTGAATGAAGTGAAATCTAATGAAGAATTAAAAATGAATAATTTATAATTTACTTGCACATAGCGATTGAAAAAATATTAAAATAAGGCCCCATTTTGTGGCTAGTAAAAACGAAATTGGCAAAAGTATCATTTCCCTATTTTGGCTGTGGGGTGCCCAATAGACTTGCCTCCACGTGGTGCACCCTGGGCAACGTATAGTCATGCGGCAAAAAAGTCTAATAACCGGCAGTTGACTTCTCACTTCAAACTACCATGACCCCATGGTAAGTCATATTCAACCACTACACAGTACTTATCTTTCCCTCACTGAGCCTTTGTGTCTGTCTGTTTCTTTTGCGTTTGTGAGTCACTCTTCTATCCCTCCTCCGGAATTCTTCTCACTTTGATGTTCCTCCTCCCCTCTGTGAAGCCCGAAGTCAACTAAAGGTGCAATGATAACTATCAAAACGTCTGCCATTTGTTATAAATAAATATTTTGGCTGTACACTTCACTGGAAAGGGCTTCTTAGAATGTTAGAAGCCAATAACTAAATAAAAATCACACTGCATTTTAAAATATATCTAAGGTAATACCTAGTCTCTTGAATTTAAGAACCTTACAAACATTTATCTAATTTTTTCAGTGAGTGAGTGGACTTCTTATTATTCAGTACAAATTAGGCGGCAAATAGCCAATGATTTAATTGTAACTAAGGCCTCATTTGTTTTTTTTTACAATTTCATTTTGCCTCCATGTGTGTGTGTGCGTGTGCATGCGTGCGTGCGTGTGTGTGCGTGTTGGCAAGATAAACATTTACCTACCTTCGCATTTGCGAATGTGTTATGCTGCTTCCTACTTAACTCCTAACTAAATTGAGACCTAACTACTCTCAAAACACTGTCAATGTCCGTCCTCATCCAACGAGACGAGATCAGCTTATCTCACTTCTTCTAATTTTTGGTATTTTAATACTGTGGATATGTTTGTTGGTAGTAGAAGATGGTAAATCGACTGCCCAGATAGGAACCAAGAGGCACCAGGTGGACCCTTCAAGTTAATTGACTATTCCAGTCAAATATGACAAGAACTTAAAGAAGAAATTTGTTCGGTAAACATTACAGAACCAATAAAGCAATAAGCTTAAAATATTGTGTTATAGATTCATTTACTTGTTCGGACACCTGGATTAAAATGATTCAAATAAACAAAAACTGCTACTCTTTTCAATTCTGTTTTCCTTTTATCGGTTCTAAACAAAGTGGATTTCTATACTCCAGGACTTGTTTGAAGTGAAGTTATGGTGCCTCACAGATTTGCAATTTGATATCACTTAATGTTATAAATTGTAATATCGTCAAAATGACCGAAAATAACTTTTCGCTAAAATTGTAGCGGATTGCCACAGTAGTAAATTCTCGAACATGTAGCGGATTGCTACCTTCGTAAAGCCTTGGTTAAAGACTTGTAGCGGATTGCTACCTTAGTAAAGCCAGACCGGTTGAGAATTGTAACGGATTGCTACCTTAGTAAAGCCTGACCGGATTGCATTGTAGCGGATTGCTACGCTAGTAAAGCCTGACCGAAATCTCTATGGCAGATTCTCCAACACCTAGCTAGACTCCCAG